TGGAATATATCCTCAGCGGTTTTTATCCTCGTCGTCAGAATACGCGGTCTTTTTCGACATTGCCTAGGCATTCGATAGAGTCTGGCACGAAGGCCTTATCTAAAAATTGTACGACTTAAGTTTTGACCGTCTCGTCCAAGGAACGTACCTTTCGTTTTAGTTTCGGTTTGGTTTTAGTTATCCTCTTCTCGCCAAATCAAAGCCGGTGTCCCTCAAGACTCTGTGCTTGCCCCCTTCTATATATACTATTCACCAACGACATTCCTATCCCGTGAATGGTGTCAAACTAGCCCTCTTTGCAGATAACACAGACCTCTACTCTAAAGGCTACTCACTGCTATGGATTCGGAACAAGATCCAAAATGCAGTTAGTGACTTAGGAGCTTGGTTCCAAAAATGGCATATCGACGTAAACCTGGAGAAGAGCTCCCCCATTTGCTTCGAACATAAACGACGCCGTCTCACTGCCATTCCACATCAGGATGTTAGGAAACACTGTCCCATGGCAAACAAAAGACAAATACTTAGGCGTCGTCACCCTTGATACGAGGCTCACTTTCGAGCCCCATATCAAGAAAATAAACTTGCACTACGCGATTTTTCATGGGTAAGCTCAACAGCATGTTGGGTAGACACAGTAAAATGTCCATACGCAACAAGCGAACCTTTATAAGGTCTGTATACGACCCGTTATGACCTACGTGGCCCCGATTTTCGCTCATGCTAAACCCAACCTAATAAATGAACTTCAAATAGTTCAAAACCTCTTCTGTCGTCGGGCTACGAACTCACCCTAATACGAGTATGTCCGTAACACCGAACTCCACCGACACTTAGAGCTCCCGACAATTCAGCAATTTCTCAAATCACTCTCTGAGAGATTCTTTAAAGCCTCAGAGTCCCACTGAAATCGCTTCATTCACGAGGCAGTTGCCTATGCCTCTTCCTCCCTCCCATCCTCTTCGCACTCGCTAAAGTGTCCGCAGGCCGAGAAACTCTCTCTCGGACCCCCCCTCAACAAGCTTTCGGCTGACCTGAACTGCCTCCTGGCGGCTCAGGCTGAGCCTACTTAACTCATCTCGTAATCTGCTTTGTTAGGCACACTTCTAAGTGGCTACTCGCCCGTTTACGGCTTAAAGATCTCTCGCTAGATCATTAAGTCAATCCCAAAAGGTGGAGTTTAGTGGGTAAAAGTCACAAAATATCACGCAGCCGGCTGCGTGATATGCTATGAGCATTTGTGGCGGCGCTGTCGTCGCGCCGCAAGCGAAACATACCGAAGCCTAAATCACGCTATCAACATTCCGAATCATAAACAGCATATATAGAACATCTACGAACTATCACACGGAGCGTTGGCTGCTCCCCGGGCATAACACCTTGCCCGGCGGGAGATCTCCCCTTTTCCTTCCACGGCCACACATTCACCACCTTCCTTCCCCGTTACCGGAGGGTTGCTCTTATTTGCTTCGGGTGCAAAAAAAAATGAACGTGATGATGTGGATGAATTTGAAGTGCGCCGAGTTAAAAAAAAATGTATTTTTAGGACTAATTTTTTTTCGCCAATAAAAATATTTTCAAACATTTTATTATTGTTGCATTGCAGGCATACCGGTCTGTACTTGCGCTCATTGAAGGGAACCTGGTGCAGACATTCATCGACGGCATCCGCGACCTTGAAGTCAGAGCTGCTGTGAGGCTCGGGCACCACGAGACGCTTAAGGACGCCTTGGCCCATGCACTGGAAGTGGAAGCCGTGCGGCGGTATCATCATTCCCATCGCGTCAGGGAGGTTGCAGCAGCTACAGTTCGCGACCGCAACAAAGGATACAGCCCAAGGTGCTATGGCTGTGGGGAAAGGGGCCATCTTCGATCCAGCTGCCCTAAGCGAACCGCAGAAAGGGAAAGTGAACGATATCAGGAGGGTAGTGCAGCTAACGGCACTGCCTGGCAGCGTCAGGATCATCGTTCACCTCCCGCTAGGGAGGTTGCAGCAGTTACTGTTCGCGACCACAATAAAGGATACAGCCCTAGGTGCTATGGCTGTGGGGAAAGTGGCCATCTTCGGTCCAGCTGCCCTAAGCACACCCTAGGAAGGGAAGATGAACGGTCTCAGAAAGGAAGTGCGGCTAACAGCACCGCCCAGCAGCAGCAGGAATACGACTTTACTATCAGACACTGCAGCGGGAAATCTCACGGCAACGCAGATGCATTGTCAAGAAAACCTTGTCCTGAAGATTGCAACCATTGTACTAGACAAGATAGTAAGGAAGAGGTATCCGTGAGGATGCTCAGGACGGACCACCTCAGCAACGAATGGAAGGACAGCTTACAACATGCACAGAAGGAAGATCTGGACATCAAACCGATTCTGGATTGGATAAAGGCCAGTGCTCCCAAGCCTAAGTGGAGTGACGTCTCAGCAATGAGTTCGACCACTAAAAGCTATTGAGCCCAGTGGGACAGCTTGCTGCTTCAGGATGGAGTTCTGTGCCGTAAATGGGAAAATGTTAGGGGAGACAGCTGTCATTTGCAAATGGTTGTCCCTAAAGCTAAAGTACCGGATGTTCTACAGCTGTACCATAATGATTGTTCCGGAGGCCATCTGGGAGTTAAACGAACTCCACTGAAGATCCGAGAACGGTTCTATTGGGTCCACCGTCGAAACGATGTCGAGGACTGGTGTCGCAAATGTACAAGTTGTGCGGCTGTAAAGGGACCTCAGACTCGTAGTAGAGGTGCATTGAAGTTGTACAATGTTGGTGCACCATGGGAGAGAATAGCCATTAACGTGGCGGGGCCGTTTCCGGAGAGTGAAAGCGGTAACAAGTATTTCATGGTTGTGATCGATTACTTCACAAAGTGGCCAGAAGTTTTCGCCATTCCAAATCAAGAAGCTTCAACAGTTGCAGATAAACTAGTTCATGAAGTCTTCTGTCGTTTTGGAGTACCTTTAGAGATTCACAGTGATCAAGGAAGGAATTTTGAGTCTCAAATATTCCAGGAAACTTGCCGAGTTATGGGTACTCATAAAACAAGAACGACTTCTTATCACCCGCAATCTGATGGAATGGTGGAACGATTTAATCAGACATTGGAGAGGTACCTAGCAAAAGTTGTAGACAATCGGCAACGAGATTGGGACAAGCACATACAACCGTTTTTGTTGTCATATCGAAGTTCTGTTCACGAAAGTACAGCAGTGACACCAGCTTTCGCAAACTTTGGAAGAGAATTACGGCTGCCTGCAGACCTGATCACCGGGATACCACCTGATGCCCCACGCAATATAACCGATTATGCAAATGACTTGCGGAACAAAATGAATGACATTTATGAGCACGTCAGACAATCGGGCCAGCAAATGTCTGAGAAAATGAAAACCCGGTACGACCGCAAAATGAACAATAAAGGGTTCAACGAAGGTTCATTAGTGTGGTTGCGCAATCTAGTCCGCAGCAAAGGGAAATCTCCTAAGCTTCAAGCTAAATGGGACGGCCCGTACCGGATTGTAACCAGGATCAACGATGTGACCTACCGGATACAGAAAGGCGCAAGAGGGACTCCTAAGATCGTCCATGTGGATCGCTTGGCGCGTTATTATGGGACCGATAATGCTCGGGACGAGCATGTCTTAGGAGGGGGCAGTGTTGCGTGAATCAGTCAACGTCATACACTAGCACCATCTAGTGTCAGGAACGAGAGCGAGGGGAGCTTTGCAGAAAATGACATCACAAATCTTTCAATCGACAGCGCCATCTAGTCTCAAACCGAAGAACTAAGTTTCTAGAAAATCTACACTCGAACACTCGTCGCTTTGCGCGCATTTACTTGAATATTCTGGATGCTTCATTGCTAATTTGTATATATAGGCGTTGCAAGATGCGATCGGGGCAGTATTGGGTTTGGCGAGACAAGCGAAGCTTCGGAGCGGAATAAAGTGAATTAGTGTGTTTAATTATTAGTGTTTTAAGTTTTAATTTGTGTAAAGTAAATTAAAATGTTAATTTAGGTAATTTTATCGGCAATTTTTATTGTCACGAACCTCAAGCTCGTAACATTATTTATTCAAATAATTTTTTCAACCAAAAATTGACACTTGTGACTTGCTTTTTCATTTTTATTTTGATGAACTTTTGTTTCATCAAAATAAAAATCTAAAAGTTCTTTTGTTCTTTAATTTTGAACAAAACTTAATAAGTTAAAAATTTTAAACTATGACGCGATTATTTTTAGTCAAAATATAATATGTTAGACAGTGCAAATTGGCATTACTGTTTAAAATATAGAATTTTTAATTAGGTATTTTGTTGTTTTAATATTTTGCAAAGAGAAAAGGGACATTGTAAACTATTAATAGAAACGTAACATCGTTTCTATTAGTAGTTGACATGCTCTTCGATCATAATGATTTCTTATATTTACGCGAACACTACACATTGGTGCTGGAAAGCGCCCGAAACGTCGGAAATTAAAAATAATAGTAAAATAAACGCGATAAAATCCGTAAAAATAGTTTTAATCAATGCTCTTCGATCGTTTTTTTTTTTTTGAAATATTAAGGTTTTTTCCGCTAGCGTCGGCTTGAAATGCTATCGCAATTCACTGTTAACTTGGTTAAGCTGTCGTCAGAATCTCACAACTTCTTTGCAATATTATGCATCAGCATATTGAATTTGAAAAGATTTAGTGAATAAAATACACATCAGATTTGGGTGTATGGTTTTTGACCGTTGCCTGCCTTAATTGGCTAGTCGTAAGAACTATATAACAATAGTTTATAATTTGTCTATAGTGCGATGGCTGTCATCTAGTTTTATTTTATTATTTTAGAAAATAAGGAAAGAAGCGTTCAGTGTTATTAAAAAATGAAGCTATTTTCATGAATAATGTACTTGTCTTTTAAATTTCCTTTAGATTTAAGTGCGTCTTTCTCATACCGGTAACTGCTAGTTCCCTTCTTTGCGATGTTTAGCAGAAGAGTTTGATAATTGTCGACGATGGCGTCTGATGGTGAAATTTCATGTACCACTGATCCAAATTTCGCTGTTATTTACTCATTTCTAAAAGTTTTTGGTAAACTGTACGGATTAGAAATACCTACGATAGCTAAACTGCAAGAATTGATTGAAAATACTCAAGAAGGTACGAAAAAGATAACATTATAGTGAGTGTAATATAAACAAACATCTAAGTATATTTTTTATTTTAGTGTTGGATCCGTTAAAAGAGTTGCATATAAGGTTGTTACGGCGAGCGCTTAAGTCCATTCAGGTTAATCGTTGGGAGAGAGCCTTGATAAAATTCTGTCACCAACAAAGATATCATCAGGAAGCTTGGGAAATAGAGAGGTTTTCTTACAAGAAAGCTAGCACTCAGGTCAAATTGCGAATATTGAAGGTAATTTAATATTTTGTTTGTGTTTTAATTTTGTTGAATTAATACTCGTCAAAGATGTATACTGACTGATACATCTAATTAATTTTATTTAATTTGAGAAAAGTTAAATTTTCTGGAATAAAATTGTTTCTTAACATGGTTTTTTAATTCTCCTTTTCTTACAGTTACTCTTTGAATACCAATTCACTTGTCATCCAAAGTTTAAAAATGCGGTAAATGCAATATCAAGTAAAGATCTCAGACTTGATCCTATTGGTAGAGATAAAAATGGATGTGTATACTGGCTGCAGGTTGACCATGAAGCTAACTTATGTTTGTATAAAGAAGATCAGGATGAGGAGACATGGCAGTTAATTGCAAGGTAATCTTTTTCCTGTGGAGTACAGGGTGAAAAGACCAATTGCTTACTGTACTTCACCGGCATGCGTCTGGCAGGAGCCTGCTAAGATCACTTCAAGTGGCCTCCTTTTGCCTGCCATGTAGTTTTTTCTTAGTTCACTATGAGTTAGTATATTTATACTAAAATTTTAATTACAGCATTTGCTGTAATTAAAATTTTAAACAAATATTCATCAATATATACAGCAATTTCATTGCCCTTCATTTTTCATTTCCAATTCAATGATATTCCAAGACTGCTTTTTTAATGCCAATATTTCTTTAATATGTGATCTTTCATAAAAGAGTAGCTTATTTTAATAATTCACACCCTTAAGTAGTGGTAAAGGGATTCCATAATAATTAACAAGTAGCATGTGATTAGTATGTCTTGATGATACAGTTACCAGTTTATGACAGACTGAGTCTTGTTTTGAAACATTGCTATACAAACACAGTTATGGTCTAGTTTCCGATTATTAAATAGTAATTATAGTTAGTAGCAAGTTACTTTAGCATATTGTCATGAGAAGTAGACTTTACTAGTTTCAAAATATCTAAAAGACAAAAGTTTAATGAAATGTAATTATTAATTAAACATTTAAAATCATGTAAATTTTATGATATTTATATGTCTTGATATTCTCATTTACTCATTTTTCTATTTGCTGTTTATATGATAATGAATGTTTTATACAATTGTAAGTGTTATGTACAGTACAACTTTATATACTATAGATAGACTACCAATGCATTTCTGTAATGAAAATTTGCAAACTTCAGATATAATCAAAATATATCAATTATAATAATATATCAGATATACAAGGCCGTCCATGACCTGAACTATTATTGAGCTATAGTTGACTCTGTCTTCTGCAAATAATGTTTTATTAATTCTCCCTATTAACCTTTTGCTGTAGCAATCGAGAAGAGTTTGTGAAAATTATTGGTCAGTTGAAAAGTGGTGAAGAAATATCTCAACCAATAGGGAATGATGATTCCAGCAGTGCCGATATTCCAACACAGATAGAGGTGTGATACTTTTTGGTTTTCTTTGCTAATAATTCATTTGCTTAAGTTTAATGTCCTTGTAAGGTTAGGTAAATTTTAAGTCACTTTGGACTTTCATGTATTTACTTATATTTATACTTATATTGTTTATACTTATACTTATATTGTTAACTTAAACAAAAAAATTATCCACCTTTAACATTTCTTAGTGTTCTTTGTTGGTAATTTCGTTTTTTACAATTTCAGGCTGATAAATCGGAAGCTGAAGAAGACATTGAAGAAGAGTTCTTAAGTCCTGAATCTGAGTCTGGAAATGAAAGTGACGATCACAAAGTTGAAGAATGTGCAGCAGAGGAGGAGACAGAAACCAAAAAAGATAAAGAAACAAAAGAAGATAAACACATAGCAGTAAATGATTTAAACAATAAAGAAGTCATTGAGAGTAGAAAAACAGAAAGTGATTCTCAAGAAGAGACATCAAATAGCCCTGAGGAAAATTTTAACAATAAAGATGAAAAATATGAGAAAGATGAAGTTGGCGAAGAGATAGAAGAACCTCTTATGATTATTAAAGGGGAGGGTAATGGAGTGGATTGTGAAAGTTCCTACATTATTGGTGAAGAGATATCAGAACCTGTAATGTTTATTTATGGAGATGGTTGGGGATATGACAATGACACTGGAAACCCTGAAGCAATAGAACAAGCAAATAATACTGAATTACAAGAAAATTCAGATGTAGATAATACTAGTGAGGAATGTGTTAATGGAGATCATACTAATAATGTAAAAAAATGTAGTAATAGAATTAAATTAAGTAAAAGTGTTAAATTAAGAAATAGGCTACCATCAGTTACAAAAAGATCTTTGCGGAAACAATCCAGTGATAATAGTGATGTTTTAAAGTCAGATTCAAAAAAGCATTGTGTGCGAAGCATAGACAAATCTAATGGTTCCAATTCAAATGCAACAAGTAGTGATAGGGAATTGAGAAGACATAACAACAGTGTACCCGACAAAAGTACTGATTGTGAAAGTTCAAGTAAAGTTAAGGTTAAAAAAGGAATAGTGAAAGTTAAAAAAAGAGAAAGCACAAGGAAACTAAGAAAAAGTAAAGAACTTGTAAACTCTTTTTCAGACACTGAAAGTCATGGTAATAGTAAAGCCAGTATTATAGAAAAAAGAAAAAGTAGCGTATCATCTGAACATGAAGAGGTGGACAATGTTGAAAATGTTAAAGATGAAAGTCCAGATAAAGAAATAAAGATAGAGGATACTTTACCTTCAAAAAAAATACGCTTAGAACCCACAACAGAATCTGATGATGTATCACATTCCAAAACTGTTGATGTAGATAATATCAAAGTTCAAAATATTGAAAATAAAGATGTTAATACGGAAAATGACATAGATTCTATTTCAAATAGAAAGAAAATTAAAGCTGTTAAAGGTAAATTAAAGGGTAAAAAGTTTTTGAGAAATAAAATACAAAATAGTGAAGTAGATAAAGATAATGATAAAGTAGAAGTTAATGATAACAAAAGCAGCAAAGCATTAAAGAGAAGTTTATTAAACACCACAGTAAATGACAAAAGTAAATCTGAATCTCAGAGTGAAAGTGAAGAAGAAGAGCCAATGACAAGTGGAAAGCGGTTAAAAATAAAACCAAAAAAAATTATAACCACATCAAGGTAAATTTTATATAATTTTTTTATTTTGCTTGGAATTAAATTATTTACTATAAAAGAATCTAGGTTGTCCCCCCACTAGATGGAGTGACGACCTGGTAAGACATTCAGTAAGTCTGAATACAGGTGGCTCAGGACTATGCTTTGTTGCATTCCTTGGGGAGGCCTTTTCATCATCATCACCATCATAAGTTCAGCAGTGGATTTGTGAAGGACTGTAATGATTATGATGATGAAAAGAATTTTATGAATGGTACAATAATAATATAATAATAATAATCTTTATTGATAAACATATTACATGCACCAAATTTACAGTGGTCATTAGCGCCTAAACTAGGACATAATACCTGTATTTCAGGGGCTTGTTTCCTTCCCTATTCTTAGTTCCATTTCTATAATTTGTTTATCTATGTATTATATTTATAATGTTTATTTATTATATAATATCAACAAGTATTTTTTAAAATGTAAAATTTATGACAGTAAAAAGGGGGGATAAAAAAAATAAAATTATGTTGGCACTATTGCAAATGTGTGTGCCGCGCGCGCGCGCGTGTGTGTGTGTGTGTGTGTGTATGTGTGTGTGTGTGTGTGTGTGTGTGTGTGTGTGTGTGTGTGTGTGTGTGTGTGTGTGTATCTGTATTAGCGTGTGTTATTTACATGTCCAAAGAAAGAAGGCTCTCCGTACCTTCATAATCAAAAATTTTCAGCCAGTCTGTAATTTTGCTTTTCACTTCAAAGTTGTTTAGTGATCTTATGTTATGTCATCTGTTAAGTTTATTATATAGCCTAGATGCTAAAAAGTCAAAATGTCTTCTAAACACAGCACTTTTGGGTTTTGGAACAGGACATCGTTCTTTTCTCTTATTGCTTCGTATTAGTTTAGGGACAGTGACGCGATGATACCTCCTTAAACATTGATAAATAAAAGTTTTGCGGACGGATAACACTTTCGCTTTGTCATACAAAGACACTGTTGATTGGCGAAATGGTAAACGAAAAATGACTTTTAAAATAGCTCTTTGTGCGCGTTCAACTTTTATTAAATAGCTTTTAGCGGCACCGCTCCAGGCACAAATGCAGTAGGTACAGAGACACTCTCCCAATGCTTTGTATGTTTTGATAAGTAATTTGCTATCGGTTACTGTTCGTAAATTTTTAAATATATAAATGAGTTTTCTTAGCTTATTAGCTACTGCATCAGTATGGGCATCCCAAGTTAATTTATTATCAATTATCACTCCTAGATATCTCATAGAATCAGTCTTGGTTAAATTACTACATTGACATGGTGTAGAGTTTATAGTACGATTGCACGGATACGTGTGTAGAGTAATTTTAAAGTTGTTAGTTGGAAGAGTAGCATTGGTCTTAACGAAACATAGGTATTTGGTCTTAGAAACATTAAGTGATAGTAAATTGTCTTCCAGCCAACTAGTCACTAACCTCAGACCATTTTCTGTGCATTTTGCAACTTTGTCCCAAGTGTCACCATGAAAAATCAATGCAGTATCGTCAGCAAACATAGTTAAATCGGGATTTTTGATATTGATTTTACACAATTCATTTACATAAATAATAAAGAGCGAAGGTCCTAAGGTACTCCCCTGTGGTACACCGTAAGAGCAAGTGGAAGTGTTGCTTGCATACTTGTCAATCCTGACTCGTTGTCGCCTATCAGATAGATAGCCCCTAAACCAGTTGTAGACTACACCTCTTATACCCATGTTTTCCAAACGGCTAAGCAATATAGGAATCGACACTGTATCAAAAGCTTTTTGTAGGTCCAAGAAAACACCTACACATTTTTTACCACAGTTAAGATATTTTGATACCAGAGATGTTAATCTTAATACGGCATCTTCTGTTGACCTGCCCGAACGAAAGCCAAATTGATTATTATCAATAAAATTATTTCTTTCAAGGTACCGTATTAATCGTTTATTCACGACCTTTTCCAATATCTTTGACAGAGTACTAAGAAGTGAAATTGGCCTATAATTTGAAGGGAGCTGCCTATCACCAGATTTGTATATAGGACAAACCGTAGCTTCCTTGAAAATGGCAGGAAAAACACCTTGCTCTAAACTTAAGTTACAAACATATGATATTGGCTCAGAGAGCACATTAATATACTTCTTTAGGAAATATGAACTAACAGAATCAAATCCAGGGGCACTATTTGTTTTTAAACTTAGTATAATCCGTTTTATTTCTTCGATATCTGTGGGTTCGAGGGACATAGACACAAGAGGTGTATTCGGGATTCTAGCCTTTTTTTGCCAATTCATTTTCACTGGTGTTTAGTTTTTGAAGTGTAATGTTAGCCAAGTTATGCCCCACTGACGCAAAATAATAATAGTTATTTTATTTTGCGTCAGTGGGTACTTTGTCAAGAGATTTAGTGGGAGAAATATCAACATCAAGTAATTCCTGTGGAGATTCCTTTTTCTTATATATGTTACACACGTCCTTTATTATTTTCCATGTTTCTTTATTATTTTTAGCATTCACATGTAGTTTTTCTTTATAATACTGCCTCTTAGTAAATTTTATTAACTTATTACACATATTACGGTATTTTATATAGTTAGCGAGAAGTTCTTCACTATCAGAATGTAATTTAACTTTTAGGTGCATCTTATTTCTTTTACGTATGGAAATAATAATACCGTGTGTAATCCATGGTTTAAGTGGTCTAAATTTTTTAGGTAGCTCTTTGATGATTGTGTTATTATTAACTACGGTTTGTAATTTTGTCAATAAAACTTCTGCAGCAATATGTGCATCGGTTATATTAAAAAAGTTTTGCCACCTTTCAGTTGACAAAGAATTATTTATAGCATCATAGTCGATATATTTTAATTTTAAAAGAGTATTATTTCGAGCGGTTTTCTGAGATTTTATGTATAGCAAAATTGGAGCATGGTCTGTTAACGGGTCAAATACAAAAGTACCCCAAGTATTAACACTTTTAATCATAAAGTGATCGATACAAGTATATAGTCTAGTGGGAAGATTGACACCCTGCTTGAGACCATACATTGCAATCAGGTTAAGGTAGTTTTGCACGTGCTTAGAACTGTTGGATAGTATATCTAAATTTATGTCACCTGTCAAAATAATACGAGGAGTATTATTATTCTTAAGAACGTTTTCTAAAGAATGTAGATAATAATTTGGATTATGATAACTGGGTGGTCTATAAGAACAAATAATTGAATATTCCGAATCTATATTTATAATCAAGCAATTTCCTTCTTGAAAGCGTGGTTCAGTTACTCATGAATTTAAAGAAGTATGAATGTAAGCCACGACGCCATCATTTTTGTTTAAATAATTAACAGTTTGATACATCTTGTAATCGGTGATATTAGGTGGTGTGAAATTATTATTAGTCCAACATTCGGTTAAAACTAAGACGTCAACCTGAATACCAAGACTTGCAACAAACGTTAGAAGTAAATCAAAATTTAGATTTATACTACGAATGTTGACGGACAGTACCACCAACAATCCATCTGCACCAATAAAAAATTCTGAACACTTTGATGGATCATTTATGAATGTGCAATTAATATTGTGATACTCATCTATATCCGTTGCTATAATATTGTTAATATTATCTATATTAAGATCGATATGTGTAAAACCAGTGCATTTTTAACATAACTCAGTATATTAAGTTTGATTATATTTTTGATAGTAGTAAGTTTTTAAACCACGACAATGAACTATTTAAAAATAAAAATGAGTAAAATAGCATTAAAAATATGTCATCAAAGTTTTGTTACATGTTTTAAATGATTTTTTTCTAATTCTTCATGTGATGAGAATACTATTTTACTAAATACTAAACTGAAACTGATAAATTGAATCCAAAATTTTATTGATGTTAACAAAAATAAAGTAAATGTTTGTGTTAAAATTTTCAATGAATTCAGTTTTCAATTTAAGGTAAAAACTAATTGCCTAACTAATTAATAAGAAGGCGTTTACACAAATTAGAATACATTTTCCAATACACCGGGGTGATCTATAACATGTCAGTAATTTCCTTATGATTATAAACTTTTAATCTTTTTAGCTATGGAAATAAAAACTGATCAAGTGTGTTTCGGTACCTACTCTATTAGGCTTCCATCATAATATTAAATTAATGTTTTTTAACATTAGATATTCAATTATTAACTTTTTCTAGCTTAGGTGATATAAAATAAACCCTAAAATTATTTTTTGTTTTGGTCACATGGTAAATCTATGTTTTCAGTATTTGTTGTTTAAAACAATAATATAATTCATAATATACAGTAATTTATAAGTCATTTTTGAGATAGCCAAAGTAGACTCTCTAGTAAAGTCTGTCTTAAACTGATATTGTTTATATAAAAAACTGATAACTTGATAATGTCTCGTATTTCAGAAAAAAAGTTGAAGCCAAACTAATGGCGAAATGTTCCAGTGAATCGGAAGAGGAGACATTGTACAGTTTAGGTATATAAAAATAAGAATTTAGTAGTAGTTTAATGATAACTTTTTAATCTATGCACCAGATAAAATTAATGTTTGCATTTTATATTTTAGGTAAAAAAGCTAACAAACGCGTGTTAAAGAAAAAGTCAAAAGAAAAAGAGAAACCAAAATCTACTAATACAAATTCAGCAGATAATGAAACTCCCGTGCGTCAGTCTAGAAGAATAGCACAAATGAAAATAAAAGAGGAAGCAGAGAGAAGGCATTTGGAAGAGGTTGCATTAAGGGAGCTCAAAATGATTCACAAAAAGAAAGTAAGTTGCTTGAGGCCTCATTGTTGTTACCGAAGAGTATAACACATATAATGCCATACTAACAAATGACCAAACTGTAATTTATTTTTGTTTTAAATTTGTCACAGGATCTAAGAAAAGTCTAATTACGATGGTTTTGTTACATTTTATATATTATAATAGTAAAATAAATAAATAAAAAACAGTGTCAGCCACATATGGCTGACGTGGCGCTACTGTAATAAAATTCTCATTGGGGCTGCGTCAGCCATTTTGTCAGCCATTTGAATTCAAAAGCGCGCGAAAGCCGGACTTTCTTGTGACCGCCGGCGCCATTGTTGTGCTTTATGCTGGCAAAAACTGCGATTGTGTAAACACTACACCAACTCATGTCGTACTTGCTTTGTGTGACTATTATCTAAACAAAGGACATACAGTTTGCACCGACAACTGGTATACCAGCTTGGATATGGCACGAAAACTGCTAGCTGGACAAACTCATCTCTTAGGCACACTTAGAAAAAACATACGAGGTTTACCGCAAATAGTTCTTCAAGCCAAGCTGAAAGCAGTCGAATTTTCGGCTCAGGAAAATTACGAAGGAATCACAATTATGAAATGGAAGGACAAACGAGATGTGCTGATTCTGTCCACCAAGCACTCCGTAAGTTTCAGAAGAATTATTAAAACAGGCAAAGAAAAAATAAAACCAAAGATTGTAGTTCATTATAATCATGCGAAATCAGCAGTTGATCTATCAGATGAAATGTCTTCTTATTCAACTCCTCTTCGCAAGACAATAAAACGGTCCAAGAGATCAGCAATGGAGCTATTATTGAATACGGCGGTTGTGAATTCATATATATTTTATAAATTAACAACCAATAAGAAGCATACAGTTGTTCAGTTCAGAACTGCATTGGTTGAGTACCTGATAAACATAGGAGTTCCAGGATGTGGTGCCTCCGCTAGGCTTAGGCGATTAAAGCACAAATTAAAGAAGAAGCAGGGGTTGGCTTCTGCCTGTCGAAAATATTCCGTCAGATGTTATAAAGAAAACTGTGTCCAATTTGGAAGATTGCATGCGAGAAATAAAACCAAAAGAGTGGTAACTTATTGCGAAGATTGCCCAAATGAGCCGCACTACTGTATAAATTGTTTCAATTTAGATCACAGATATGTTTGAACATGATGACTGATGTAGATTTGATTCGTAATGTCACTGATACCAAATCGAATATGATTAAAAACAATTAAAACACTTTATATATAATGATTTCTTACATTTTATATTTTTTTTTTATAGAAGAGGGGGCAAACGAGCATGCGGCTCACCTGATGTTAAGTGACTACCGCCGCCCATGATCAACCGCAACACCAGGGGAATTGCAGGTGCGTTGCCGGCCCTTTAGAAAGGAGTAAGCTCTTTTCTTGAAGGTCCCCAGGTCGTATTGGTCCGGAAAGATCGCCAGTGGTAAACTATTCCACAGCGAGGTTGTACGCAGAAGAAAACTCCTTTTGAAACATACAGTGGTGGACCGCCAAGCATCCAGATGGTGTGGATGGTATCGGGACATTTGCTGCGTAGTGGGTTCACGAAATTTGGCAGCTGGGATTAATCCGAACAATTCCTCAGAGCACTCCTCATGGTATATGCGAAAGAAAATGCAAAGAGATGCAACATCTCTTCGCAGCGCCAGTGAATCTAGCCGATCGGAAAGCACTCGGTCGTCGACGATTCGAGCCGCTCTGCGCTGGATGCGCATTATTTCGATTTCGATTCGTGATTCGTGATTCGTGATTTGCGATTCGTTTTATTTTGTAAAAAATCCATATAACAACCAATTATTTTTCTCATCACTACTTGGTTTGTATTTTAAAGCTTAATATTTTTTAAAATATAAGTAAAAGTTGCAGTGCCATCAGTATAGTTATAATTTACCAGGCCTTATCAGACATACGGCATACAATTTAATACGAAAACAGTTTCTAACGAAACCCAAACAGCACTTTGAAAACAAGTATATGCAATATAAGGCTCAATTGGTTTAAAAAGTGTCAGCCACATGTGGCTGCGTGTGACGTTTTACAGTGGTAGAGCCACGCGGCAGCTTTGCTGTTGCACGTATGGGCCGGCTCAAATTGGGGTGGTACCACGACCTCACAGAATACCGGCGTGAAGTGGAAGCTCTGCTTCCGCGTTTCGTCTGGTGAGTGCAGGATAACCGGAGGTCCAAATCCCCCCCCCCATCAACATTGTAGCGGAATTAAATGTCAATCTACCCCAGGAGGGTACCAGCACCCCTGGAGAATCCCTCGCTGAGCATCCATGACCAAGTTACTCACCTCTTGGGCGTAGGTGCTCAGGCTGCCCCGCGTAATCTGGGGGGGGGGGCAAAATTCCGCTCAAGAGACAACTGCTCGGGGCAAACGGAGCAACAAGACCAAGGCGACCCCTGCCACGCTATCCGTGAATTTCTGCAATATCAGGGGACTTCACTCCAACCTAAACGCCGTCCACTACCATCTCGAAACGGCAAGGCCGGCTCTGCTCTTTCTGACCGAGACGCAGGTGTCCTCTCCAGCTGATGTCTCGTACCTCTCCTACCCAGGGTACAAACTGGAACACTCCTTTGTGCCTCGGGCTGGAGTTTGCGTTTATGTCAGAGTGGACATCTGTTCTCAACACCTCGGCAGTCTTGAAGGTTCGGACCTGTCCATCTTTTGGCTACGCGTAGACAGCGACGACCATCCGCGCGTCTACGGGTGCCTCTATAGGTACCATAGCGGTAATGCCGAAACAGACCGACTCTTCAACCACGTCCAAATGGCTACAGATTCGTTGTTACAGCAGATCCCCTCCGCAGAGATCGTGATCCTCGGCGACTTTAACGCCCATCACGCCGAATGGCTTGGTTCACGTACAACCGATCATGCGGGGAGATCTGTTCATGATTTTGTCTTGGCATATGGTCTGACACAACTGGTTACTTCGCCTACGCGGATTCCAGATGTGGAGGATCATGAAGGTGCATGATCCTGTTGGACCCTGTTGGATCTTCTGCTGACCTCTCACCCGGACGGATATCAGATTCCCGTCGACGCCCCTTTAGGCTCCTCGGACCATTGTCTTGTACGGAGTGTGGTGCCACTCACGCTGAAATCGCAGTTGAATTCAGCAGGCTGCCGCCGTGTTTGGCACTATAGGGCAGCTGATTGGGATAGGATGGAGTCTTTCTTTGCATCCTAGGGCGGGTTTGCTTCTCGCCGGACTATCCCAACGTTGTTGCGGATTCTGTCGCTGATGTGGTACTTTAGGGTATGGAAGTTTTTATTCCTTCCTCTGTGGTGCCCATCGGAGGCAAATCTCAACCATGGTTTGGTCACCCCTGTAAAATAGCATCATGCTACACTCACCGGCACGGAAACTTGGCCACTCGTGAATTTGCTGATTATTTGCACTGAAACGTTTTTTTAACAGTAAATTAAGGGTAGATGCATTCAATAAGTGTCTCTAATGGTTTTAGAACATAGAAATTTAATGTTTACTTCACCGAAATTTTTCTTTTCAAGATAACATGTTTTCACTAAAATTAACATCTTTCCATTGTCACTTTAAAAACACTACAAAGTTAAAAATTAAGTCTGTTTCTTTATTGTCTATCAGTTTTAATATCGGGTGTTTCCTCCTCTAGCCCTGATAACCGCTTGCATTCGATCTGGCATGCTTTGAATGATGTTTCTGACATCAACTTGCGGTATGCTGTCCCAAGCGGCCAGCGCTGCATTTCGGAACTCATTTAGAGTTTGTGGCGGTTTGGAGCTGGACTTTATCTTTCTTTTGAGCATACCCCATACATGCTCAATTGGATTTAAGTCCGGGCTACGAGCTGGCCACTGTAATTTTTGTATTCCAACCTCTTCCAGATATTCCTCTACACAATGTGCGACGTGCGGGCGTGCATTATCGTGCATGAGGAGGAATTGGTCGTGTCCAATGAATCCCGAATAAGGCATTACGTGCTCCTGAAGAACTTCCTCGATGTATCGAGTAGCTGTAAGCCGATTATCGACGATGACCAACTCTGTACGTGCGTCGGAACTTACACCTCCCCATACCATTATTGAGCCTCCATGGAAACTCACAGTTTGGGTGGTGGTAATGGGTAGAAACCTCTCTCCTCTTTTTCTCCACACTCGTTCTCGACCGTCTGGAGCACGTAAAGCTATTCGACACTCATCTGTGAACAACACTCTAGCCCATTGCTCGTGGGTCCAATTGACATGTTCTCTTGCGAACTGAAGTCGGGCTACTCGGTGCTGTCTGAGAAGTTCTGGACCTCGTGCTGGTCTACGAGCTTTTAAATTCACTTCCTCCATTCGTCTTCTCACCGTACGCTCACTAACATTAACGCCTCTTGCGATATGGAGCCGCTGGCGTATCTCAACAGCGGTCAGGTAGCGGTTTCTCAAAATCTCCATAACAATAAAACGATCGTCCCGGGCCGATGTGCACCTTACGCCCCCACTGCCTGGCCTGCGGGTGTAGCGGCCTGTCTCCTGGTATCGTTTCAGTGAATACTGCATTGAGGACCGTGGTACGTTAAGCACAATAGCAACTTCACGCTGTGTCAGCCCTTGGTCAATTAATGCTACTGCTTGTGCAACTTGTGCTGGTGTTAATGGCATTTTTATTGGCTTTAAAGCACCTTTAGTTATTTAATTAAGACACAAGATCACAATAATTGAATAACCTTACAGTAAACTTTTCACAACACACAAATTTAAAATGTGAACTTAGTCGCTCAAATGACCCGATTCAACTAAAAATTAAAGAATTCGGCATGGTCAACTTGAGGGTAAACATTTTTTGACATACTTGCATAACAAACATTGATCAGAAACACTTAAAGCTTTTGCTATCGCGAGATAACCGCTTGGCCAAGTTTCCGTGCCGGTGAGTGTATAAGCAGGAGTGCTACCAAGCCTGGGTTGACGCATCAACGTCCCAGGATGTAAAC